AATCAGTTTAACTCAGTTCACTTCACTTTAGTAAATCAGAACATGCCCTTAGTTATATGTACATAGTATTATTATTAACTTTACTAGTGGGGCCATCAAAGATCTATGCCCTTTCAATTCGTATCTTGAATAGAGATCGATATAACTCAAGGAGAGCAATATTTTTGGTTTTATTATATGAGGCTATCATAACTTTAGGGTAAAGGTTGAATGCTTTGATTGAAAATAAATAATTCTATGTCATCATCATCTCTTTAACTATAATTTCAATTCAATTGATTAAAATGGGATTATAACGATGCAACTATATATGTAAATCTTAGTCTAAACATCAGTTATTGATAAGCCCTTTTGTCATAATTAATGAAAGCTACTAGTTGAGATAATATTTCTTCCAAGACTTTATTTTTAAAAACAAATGGAACTATCTTAGTGGACTTTTAGCACTGAAATGACTCAAATAATTTAATCAATTATACAAACCCTTATCAAAGACATCGTTCAAGTTTGATAAGTTTGCTGTTGATAATCTATTATTATTTTTGCAAATTTTATCTATTCTAATAAGAAATGAGATAGAGTTAATCAAGTACTTGTAGTCTTGTAGTAGTCAAGCTTCAATTCTATGTCACATAAGTTTTATCAATGATACGTATATAAAACACTATGAAATAGTATTTTTTATTATAGGCTCTAAGGACATGTTCTTTTCAGCTTAATTCCACTTCATTTCGGCTCCAATCACTTTAATTTAGCTCAGTTTAGTAAATCAGAACAAACCCTAAATCTTGATAATTATAAGAGATTGTGAGAGAATTACATATTGAAGTTGGGATAGGACAGATGAAAGCAAGGAATTTAACTTCTGATTATGTTATATTATACATAAAATGTTATGTGACCAAGTGTTAGTTATTTAGCCTTGCTCATAAATTTTGAAGGGAAACTTTGAGAGAAGTTTGACAAAGTCCTTACCTACAATTTTCAATTGGTATGTAAAGGCTAAAAGCAACATTCAACTTGGATTCTTTTTAATTTCATCACGTTTCTGACTAAAGCAAAGTATCCAATTTTACAAACTTTTTTGGAAGACAAATTATAGTGGTTTGAATATCTCACAATCAAGCAAAGTTATCAAATTATAGAACTTCTCAAGATTCAGGGTAAGAATACGACTCATCAAAAGTAAAATTCTTCCTCCAAAGTAGTTTAGTTTCTATTTATACCTTCCTCTTTTATCAAAGAAAATACCGAGTACACTTTTGTTGTGTTAAAATAGTTGCTATATTTGACTTTGCACAAATTTAATGTATAACTTCAAATTTTAATATCTTGGTAATAGTATGCCCTTCCTTCGTTTATGAAGGAATGCCTGCAACAATTTGACTTCAAATTCTAATTACTATTAATATATTAAGAAGACTAAAAAAGTTTATTGATGTGTAAGCATGTTTCTAGTCTTATAATTTGAAATTTTGAATATCAACTTCTTATATTTTTCACTAAAATTACATTTATTGATATTGATTGTCAAGATTACTCATTAGCAAAATTGAATACCAAAATGTTGCATGTATTTATAAGAAATATGTAGCATATCGGTTCTCAAAAAAAAAAAAAAAAGAAAAAAAAAAAGAAATATGTAGCATAATGAAATTAAAAATTTTAATATTGAAGCAAATCTAAGGAGATTCACATAATTGTATGTTCACTTTCTTTCTTTTCTTTAAAAATTTTCAATTAGCAATTTTATAAGGACACTGTGTTGGGTTGGAAGGGTAGTTTTTCAATTCCCATTGATTAATAAAAAAGTATGAGTGGTTGACAAGTAGCAACACCAATTATTGTATGCTACATATAAGGATTGAATTTAAATTGTTGATATTCTTAAGAAGAAATCTAAATTGTTAGTTATTTTAGCATCATAAAATTGTTAAAATAATACAAATCTATGGCTGTAGACTTTTTTGTATTGATTTATGAACATTAATTTATACAAATTAGTTTATATTGATTTATGAACATTAATTTATACAAATCTATGGCTGTAGACTTTTTTGTACCTATCAATTTTTAACAAGTATATTGGTATACCTATTGAATGTTTTCATGACTTAAAGAATATGTAGTTAAAAATAATGTTATAAAATTATTGAGTCATTTTTTTATCAGTATAAAGGACCTGGAGTAATTTTGATTTAAAACAATCAAAATTTGACCATTTGGTTTTTAGATATGATTGGATTTTTATACTATCAAGACCCTTTTTGCTTTTTATTTAATTTGTTTTCATACTAATTATAGTAGTTTTTAAAACTTTTTTTTTCCCCTTATGACATATAAGTGTCATTTAAGATAAATAAATAATTGGACTAATCAAACTATTACTTTCATTTCCTATTTGAATTTTCAAGAAATATCAAAGCAAATCAAATAAAATAATCCTTTAATTATAAATATTCTTCAAAACATAGTCAATCAATCACGTGCGATTTTGTTATAAGCATCTTGATTTTTAGTTTATAGTTTAATATATTAAATTTGTATATTTTTTGGGAAAATAAAAGTTAATCAGCTAGATAAACGAATTTTTGTTACTCTGATGGCATTTTTGTAAATATATTGAAAAAACAGGGTCATTTATTCAGTACTTTTGGTGAGCTGTCCAATTACTGTTTGCTTTTGCTTTTACTGTTTGGTGAAAAAAATTACACATGTATCCCTCAACTATTACATGAAAAGACGCATATAACCCTCCACTGCAACTTGAAAAGACAATTATACCCTCAGATAAACAAATTTTGTTTATATGGGGAATTGACTGGGTATCCTTCCTTTTTTTTTTGTGGTACTTATTTAGAAATATTGTTATTACACATTAAATTAGTAAGTGTACAAGTTTTTTTAACGAGACAATTAAACTAATTAAACATAGGAAGTAACTTACATAATTCGAGATAAATACTACCTAAGTTAAGTATTGGACAAATTAGATCGGTTTTTCTAAGACGGGACGGGTTGAAGTTAGTCGTGGAATTGGAGCTAGTCACGACTACCCACCAACACAAAACCACATACCACGTCCAACAACTACAATACCCTCACTATTGTATCACCACCACAAATTGCCTAACTACATACAACTAAAAAACACCAATAATCCAAAATGAGTGATGAACACAATCCCACTAATTTAATTCATTTATAGTTTTATACCAAACTTTTGTTAAGTAAAAGTACCAGAAAATGTCCACACTATGCATGCCATTTGGCCAAAACTCCCTCAATTTCAGAGAGAATCTTTTCATTAAACTCTTAGTTTAAACTTGAAAGTGCAATTCACAACATAAATATTATGTAATGTCACAATCTAAAGAATCCCAATTTTTTAAAATTTGTCACCCAACAAAGACTTAGCAATCCCCCAATTTTTCTTTTCTTTTTTTTTTAAACTAATTGAACTTGTATATTAAATTGATTAATCAATTAAAGATAACAACCTTAAGATAAAGTGGGAGAAGTTTGGAGCAATGGAGGACAATAAACTTTGGGTTAGCTGTCATTGTGGGGTTGGTCCAAATATTTATAATTTCTTAAATGTGTTGAAGAATATTTATTTATTATAATATGTTTATAATTATTCTTTATTATTTATGTGGCTTTTAGTTTTAGCTATCTTAATCGATACTTGTAAAATCTTGAATAAACGATATCTATTTTGAGACAATCAGACAATCCTCATTTAAATTTTGTTGAAATTTTTTATAATGTTATTTACGTACGTAGTATCGTATTAACATAACTTTAAAAAAAAATCCTAAGAGATTAAACTTTTACCTAGGAGTCACCATCTTTTTAAATTCAAAATAAATTAAAAATCTCTTATAGGAAATAAACTAAACTTGTCAAAATCAATGAGGTTAAATTCGTTTTGGGGAATGATATTTTTTATGGTGTATCTTTTATTTTTATTGTTTGTTTCTATATTATATTTTATGATTTCCTAGCTAAATAAGGTTTTCATGTTAGCCTATAAAAGAGGATTAGGCTTACTAATGGTTTAATGAGGAGAATCGAAACTTAATTATTTGAGGGAGGATATTTCCTCATGTATGTTGCTATTTGTGTTTGAGGGTGAGTTCCCAAATGGTTTTCATGGAACATATTTCATAACAATTTGTACTCTCCATTTTCATTGATGAATATGATGAGATTGTTATATATACTCGGAGTTGTACTGTATAGGAGAGAATAATTCATCACACGGTAGAGTATTTATACAAAACCTACGAACATAAGATAAAAAACAATATTCCTAAAAGATATACTCCGTACCATATATCCTAATGATATCTAAGTAATATCTTAACATGAGATAATACTAAATATATTATTCTCTGTGGAAAATATATCACATATATTTTCCGATATCTCATATCTCTAACATCTACCAATGTTTTCCAAGTTTTTTCAATTTGATTTTATTATTTTCCATAATAAAAAGAATAAATATACTAAGTACTATTTGAGTCCACAAATAACAACATATTACATGGTTATGGCGTAATACCACAAGAATAAGAATTTATCTTTCTTTGGTACTTAAAAATGACGTAATAGTCATCAAAAAGCCGTTGATAATTGACGTCCAACAACATCCAACGGCTGTGATTTCACCAAACTTCATATTTTTTGGTAATTGAAAGAAACCTTTTATTAAATTGTTAGGCCTTGGATCTTACATCACACGTCTCCCTCTCTCCTCTTTCTTTGTGCGTCTCTCTATTTTACACGCTTTTGTTGCTATCTACCTTCTTCCCTTCTTGTTTAATGGTATTTTTACACAGAAAAATACAACACAATTTTTTAAAAATTATTATCCAAAATACCCAGAAATTCTTCTCAATTATTACAAAATTTCATTTAAAATATTCTCTTTTCTTGTTATCCAGCTATTTTTATGAGGTGGGCCTTTATTTCCCATGTAATTTCATTATCTCAAACTTTTTTATTTTATTATTACAAATTAGGGCAGTCATAAAAATCAAATCTTTTTTAGTCGTAAAATGTCAACTAGTTTAGTCATTACAATTTTAAAGTAGTGTTGAATGTGGGGATCGAATCCGGTCTACATTATTATTATTGTGCGTCGTCGTGTATTACTGTACACCTAAAGTATATTATCTAGTGAATTAGGTGATATGGGTTTTGTTTAATTATCAACATTTTTCCTTTTTTTGTGGTTTTAATGTTTTATTTGTTTGTGTTGAAGAAAAATATTTAAGGTTGTGAAGCTTAATAAGTCCCTGAAGTTGCGGATAAAAGTGATCTTGGTCATAAATAGAAATTATATATAAATTGATGATAAAAGAGATTGTCTAAAGAATTGTTCAAAGAAAGCTTCTTTACCTGTCCTTCAATAAAGGTGGTGAACAAGTTTTAGAGAGAGAAAGAGGGAGATAGTTAGAGAGAGAAACAAGGCCGCCTTCTTTTTTGGGTGGAATACATGAGTTGCTGACCATGTGGGTTTTTCCTCTCCTTTCTTCTAATCTTAGTTTTTGTCTTTAATTAATTTTTAAGATTAAGATGATCAGAATTTGTCAATGAAATTTTTAGCTTCTTTTTTGTCAGAATAAATTTTGTGTTTTTCTTTGGTGATTTTGTTATTGATTACTGATTACAGGTGCTTAATTAATTCTTTGATATCTATTCTTGTCTTTTGATTGGAATTTGTAGTTGTAACTCATGTTGTTTGATTGTGTTTAGTTTATGACATGGGTGCTTTATATTTGGTTACATGTCAGAAAACCTTTTGGTGGGAGGTTTCTATTTTTGTTTGGTGTGACTTTATGTTATGAAAGGTTTTTTTTTATGGTTTGTTATCTATTTTTAGAAATTTTTAGGTAGCTACCAAATGAGTTTCCTTTGTGTAGGAGTTTTTTGGGTAATACAAAAGAAGAAAGTATGATATGATTTCCTGTTGATTATGCCTTGCAAAATTAGTATGAATTAATAAGCTTTTGAAGTTTTGAGGATATGGGAATAGCTTGTTGAGATTGGTGGAAGAATTTGAGGTGATTGTTGCCTTGTTGGTGATACCTTTGTGCACTTGGCTTTTGCTGCTGTTGGAAGTAATAGTTAGGGACACATATCTTGAATTTCTATGATCAAAATATGGCCTCAACCTTTAGAGCCGCGTTGTTGTTGTTAAGGTAAGGAACTTAAGAGCCTCTTAGGAAGGAGTCCTATTTCGGGCAAGGGTTTTCTTTGGAAACATTGGAGTTTTTTTCATGTTGATGTTGTTAATACTCCTCCGTCTGGTTGAGTACTGGGCATATGAGAAGAGAAATGTGTTGAACCATTTGAAGTGGTGAAAATTTGAATTTGTTGACGATTTTCAATGATTATCAAATCAGTTGGGATAGTTTTGACTGGAGGAGGAATTGTTTGGCCCGTCATTTGACTATTACTAATAAATTTTGTGCTGATTGATATGTGGTGTTTCTTGTGAAGGCTTATAGTGACTGAGTTGACTTCATTCATTACCAAAGTAGTGAACTAGAGACCGAGTTTGTTTTCTGAATGACACATAAGTAAGTTTGAGCAATGTTGAAGTGGAATGGAGTGGCTCACTTGGTGCCTTTTCTGTCTGATGGTCCCGGTGAAATCTGTAATCTGTGATTGGCTGCCTTTTGGTGGTGACTATCGAACTTTTTCTGAACTTTTATTGGGAGTTTTTATATGTGGTCTGAATTCATCAACCGTTGAATTAGATTGCTTTATTACCCTGAAACCAGCTGAAATTCTATTGAGTTCATAAATCAAGACTATCGCCTAATTTGTAAACTTGGGATTTTCAACTGTTTTTATGATCTAATACTGTTATTGATATTTCTTTGTGATTAGTCAGTGAATGGAAGAGCTTGTTGCAACTTGCAAGTCCATGAAACTGACATATTTGAGGCTGCTTTGGTTGCAAGGTTTTTTTTTTTTTTCCTTCACGAAGATTAACAGCTCTTTCTTGTTCTGGTTTTAGTTTCTTTGTTTCCAAGTTAAGAATCTGTGCTGAAAGAAAGTTTAAGGGTATTTTTTGGTAAACATGATGACCCTTGTGGCCTTGGGTGTTCCCCTCTTGATATGTTCTATGAAAGGAGTTTTTTCCCTCAATTGCTCATTGTACACCTTTTCTGAAACCTTGTGGTTGAAAGCTACAAACCTTGGTTTTGTGGGTTGGACTTTACAGTCGATAGGAGAATTTTCTGCTCCCCATGTTTGATATTGTTTATGAGGCAGTAGCAACACTGCTTTTCATGTAAAACTTGTTTTGAATTTCATATAGATTGTAGTTGTACGAATGGTTTCCATGCTTAGTAATTGCTACTATTAGTGGACATGATTTACATGTCTTGAGAGAACAGAACTTTTTTCTGTTTAATGTCAGAGTTGTTATGAATCCGTTCTTGTTATGCGACTTTTGTGGATTGAGATCCCTGTTATTCATCTTTACATGTGATACTGTTATACTGAGAGCTTATTCATAGTTGATGAGATAGAATGTTAAAAATTTCCCTATATGCTCTTAGCTGAGATGTAAAATGCCTGAATCTATTTTCATGCTATCGTGCAGAACTGAAACTTTGTAAGTCTACTCATGGATGAATATTCCAATAGAAGATCTTCTGGGGGACTCGCTGTCTCTAGAAGAGGGCCTAGCCATGCTTTGAGAGAGACAGCTCAGAACAATAGAGATAAAAATGTTCAGGTTTGCAGTCGAGTTGGATGTGGTAGCAGGTTGAACTCGATGAAGGATGCACAGACTGGCTCTCCCAGTAAAGTCAAAACACCAAAAACTCCTTTTCGTTCATCTGCTCTTAGAAAGGAAAGCATTGGCAGTTCATCCAGATCTCCCGCTTCTCCTATTACTCCCAAAAAGCCAGTCTCAGGCTCAAAAAAGAAATTGCCTTCCCACCTTGACACTGATTCAGAAACGTGCAGTCTACAACAGGAATCCGAGAAAGTTTGTGGAAAAACCCAGATGAGGGTTCATCCTGAGCCAGAAGATCATGATCATCCTGAAGCCACATCTTCTGAAGCTGGGAGTTCTAATTCGGGATCCACTAGAAAACTTGCAAAAAAAAGTGCTCCGAAATTTGGATTGGGGCGCCAAGATTCAGCTGCAAGTTCATCTACCTCATTTGGTTTTAAACAGGCCAACCAAGGGGCTAGAAATGGTGGGGCTAGTACAAGCAGGTACAATTTAAGGAATTTAAAATGCAACTCAATCTCTGACGTCGTACCATCAGGTTCTTCTCTCTCTCCTGAGTCAAATGTTAGTAAGAAGAGGGACACGAGTGGTAGGAAGAGGGTTGGTGAAGCTGAGAGTAGTTTACCTGTGAGAGGAAAGAAGATGAATGGAACTATACTGGATGATCGAAAGAATGAATCTTCCAATCGTGGAATCTCAATCTCTGATTCAAGACGTACCAGAAGCTTGAATCCTGGGAATAACGACTCTGCACCAGTTAGGACTCAGAGGTCATCTGCTAGAACAAGGCTTTCAAATCAGGAAAGTCGGGACAGATTGCCATTGGTTGAGTCACCTCGAATGAGCCCATCTTCATCTCAACCTGACTTAATAACTGATGAAACTGATTTTAGTTTGGAAAATCAGTTCTCTGTCCAAACTTCAGCTGGTTATTCAAATTCCCTGGTTAGACCAGGTAGCGGCATCGAACACATGCATCCTAATAGGTCTAGTGACCCCTATGATGCTGGCCTTGCTCGTTCTTTTATGAATCGTGATGCTTTAAGACAGTACAACTTAGATGGGATTGCAGAGGTATTGTGTTGGTAGTATGCTCATGTTTCAAGTATATTATTATTTAGGAATTGATTGTTTGATATATCGCTCTCTGGTATTATGCAGATGTTACTAGCACTAGAGAGAATTGAACAAGAAGAAGAGCCAACATATGAGGTAACTGTCATAACCTACTTCAAGAATCTTTAGAACTTTCTATTTTTATAATGGACTGTTTTTGTTTACTGCTTTCACCTGATATTGCAGCAATTGCTTGTTCTGGAGTCTAATCTTTTCTTAAGTGGACTTTCATTCCATGATCAGCACAGGGACTTGAGGCTGGATATTGACAATATGTCATATGAGGTATATCTTTGATTTGCATCATTGCATTATTACAACTTCAATGTTTCCTTGGATAAAGAAACCCAGAATCATCTGACCATGACCTGTAAAGTTAATGAAATTAGGTGTCTCCTTGTGTGTGATTTTGGATAAGAACTAAGAAGCTTATCTTTGCTATTTTAACAGGAACTATTAGCCTTGGAAGAGAGGATGGGAACCGTGAGTACAGCCGTGCCAGAAAACGTTTTGGCTAATTGCCTTGAAAGAAGCATTTACCAGGGTATTGCAGAATGTAGAGAGGATGAGAAAGATGTCAAATGCAGTATATGCCAGGTTTCAACTCTTGATCTTTTTTTGCATTTCCCTTTTTACTTATCTATTGACTGGTGATCAACTTAATTACTGAAAGGAAAGAAAACAGAAAACTCGTTACTGTGAAAACTACATGTTGCTTGAACTTGTGCATGGCGTTCTGAAAACTACTTTAATGATTTGGAGCATCTTAGGTGTTTTTTGCATAATCAATTCCCTCGATCTATTTCCCTCTCTCTGTGTTTCTGAAGTGAAAGAGGATTGTCTTTCACTCATTCCCAAACACCAAAAGGCAGTGCCCTTGCTTTGACTTTTCAACACTGACTAGTTGAAGGAAATCCTATACTTATGTCAACACCAGCTTTATTTTCCATCTTAATACCAGGACAATTTGGCATACATTCAGCCAGTGAAGGACTCCGTTGGAGCTTTAGGGATCTATCACCACATATTTGATGAGCCTGGCTGCTGATACTATCTATTGCCATCCCACCAGAAATTATGAGTTTCCTCTTTCTTAAATATATTCTCCTTAGCTTGTGTTGAGTCCATACCCTACAGAACATGAATGCTACTATGCTAGCTGCAGGTTTTCCTTGTAGAAAGATTTTAGGAATTGCAAAACGAGCTGCAGAAGAACTAATGTGATAGTCAAATAGGGCTGCTAGACTGTGGAGGCTATTTGATCACGTTTGTTGTACCCCTGGGCAAAAGAACAGTGTGATAGGGTGTCTTTCTAGGATTTTTGTCAAGCTCTTAATTTCAAGATTTGTATATTTTATGAGTAATTTATGTGCTGAAGTTATGTGCATACAATAAGGTAGTTTAGAACCCGGAACCCTTTTGCTTTTCAATAGTTTCACTCCTTGGAAGATAAAATAAGTGAAAACCACTCACTTCTACAGTTTTGCTTTTCTACATATATCCATAGTTTTACCTTTTCATGATTTTCCTACTATAACCGAGTTTCCAGACACTATGAAATTGTACTAATTTATTTGAACAAATTGTTTGGTGCAGGAAGAATATGCAGACACAGAAGAATTGGGAAGACTTAGTTGTAATCACAGATACCACTTTGAGTGTATAAATCAATGGCTGAAACTCAAGAATTGGTGCCCTGTCTGCAAGAATTCTGTAGCACCTCCACCTTCAGCGTCCCTGCCTCCCTGAACTCCACCAATATGTTCTTCCATCGTTCTCTCAGTTTGTACAGATCAAATTCGGTCTGCCTCATTTGTTCATCAGAAATTTGATTATATTTTTTTTCCATAGTTCGCCACTTTTCCCACTCTTTTGTACATAGAAGTCTCTTAAATCCTTCAACTAATAATCCTAGCCCTTTTTAGAGGCTCCATTATGGGAATTGGTTGATTTCTCCTCCTTATCTATCATCAAGTTCTCAAGTAAATATACCCCCTCCCCAAATTTCTTCTCTACTTGCGATGAACATCAGAATGGTTCTTGGTATATGTATATGTATCTCTATTTTCTTAGCGATTACTTCCAATCGTAAGAAGCTTGAGCGTATCGAGCTAAATACTGATACATTCGATAGCAAAATGGTCTCATGAAGCATGTTACAAATACATGCAAGGAAAGTGTTTCAGTCAAACACTACAGCACTATGTGATTTGATTGAGATTAGTGAACAACTTTTATAAAAGTCCCACATCGGACAAAAGAAACAATGGAGTTGCCAAACATTACTATAAATAAAAACCAGCTGATAACATTAAAAATTTTAAAGGGTCGGTTGGCTAAATATGCCATGCTCGCCCTGAGATAAGGCGAGTGCTGTATGGCTATCAAGACATATGGCCGACATAATTTGTGGAAACTCTTATAGGGTTGGCTCGCTCGGCCGACCCTGCAATTAAGGTTTTAGTTCTCTATCACAAGGTGGTTTACCTCTCTTAACTAATACGGAGTATATTTATTGATAGGGCAATTTTTTAATGTTGCCACCGCGTGGGGCTCGAACCCCCGACCACAAGGTTAAGAGCCTTGCGCTCTACCAACTGAGCTAGACGGGCTTGTTGTACCTTTAAGCAGCTTATTTTATAATTTAGCGTTATTCAATCCTAAATTCCGTATAAGCTAGAGTAACTTTATTTTTTTTGAAAGGATTTTAAAGTTAGATAATTACAAAATCAACTAAATATTTTCAGCAATTTTTTGAATTTTTTTTTTTATTAAATATAATTTCATCATGGTAATATTAATTATTAAACCAACCATGGGCGGCCACGTGGAAAAGACTATGTTTGTACCTCGTAATGCTAGCATGGTGTGGTGTTACAGTAGCAGCCACCCTCATGGCCATGCCCCCAATCAGGCACCAAATGTTGCACCCTCGTCCTTGACCTTGTCCTCTATTGCCCTGCCCAAGGAGCCCATTGGTGGTGTAGGTTGCATTGTGGTTGACAAGTAATCATATCAACTAGAACACCTAAGGCGATCAAACTAACACAAGATTATTGGAGAAAATCAGATTACATTGATGGATGACATTGGTGGATAACACTCATTGTTTCATTTTACCCTTGAATGTTCGATGCACCCGCATTTGCTTAATTTGGAGAGCTTCAAATTAAGCGAGTGTGGATGTTTTGTATGCATGGTACATCCAAGTGTAGAATAGACACCCTTATATTAGTAATTGTTATTCTTAAAATTCAGAATTGCATGTACATATCTTCATTCCAACATAATTTGGCCACATATATTATTTGGGTTTCATTTGTAAAGGAATTGAGTTTAAATTTCATACATCTAAACGGGCTTATTTGTCTTTTAACTTTATTTTATGATAATAATAAAGAAACTCGTATGTAAGAGTATGTAAGATCTTGCACCTGTATTTAACATTTTTGTAAATTTTATATGCAGGATACTTCATATCTGTTTTGTTTAATCTATGTTGAGTTACATTAATTAAGAGTGGTGTTAAAATGCAGCTGTAAGTACTCGAGCATTGCATCTGTAGGTTCTGTTTAAGGTCTTCTGTTTTCACTTCATCATAATTTCAAGCTTTTTTAAATTTCAGAACAAGATACGCAACTTCTTGATTCAACATGTATAGCAATATCCATTTGTTGGCTTGTTACAGCCACAAATGACAAATATACAGTACCATACCACTGAGAATGTTGCAGCGATATAGTAGCTGCAAGCCTGCAATGAATCAAGAATGTCGTGGCTGATCATTTTGGCGCAACAACTACAACAGCAGATAGGAACCTTAATTATCAGATCATAGATACCAAAAGGGTTTCAGAAACTCACAAATAAGTACTAATTTCTGGTTCAAAGATCATTATACAACAGTTGATAAGACCTTAATCATCACATCGTAAATATCAAAGTGCCAAGGAGTTTATCAGATCATGATAATCCAAGTTCACAAATTTCTTTGCTTTATAATGATGATAGGAATCACGAACAGTAAACAACGCCAACTAAATGCATATGTTATATGCAAATTAACTTCAGAAGTACAAGATATCAGCAACATCACAACAAATCATGTGAGAAAATTCCACAAAAAATCTAACAAGTCAATTTATATCCACAATCAATTTATGACAAGAAATTGTACCTTTAGATATTCAAAATGCTTCAACGATATGTTGAATTCTGGTAACTCTAAAACTAATCATATTAAATCGGAGATGGGACCATTTTCAATTTTTCCTTCATCCTTGCCTAGGCTCTAAGTCTCCTGGCAAACTTAAATCTTGGTTGCTCAACATAGATTGGTGGTGATGTTGACTGCCAGCATTGCTGAATACCTTGAATCCGGTAGGACTGTAGGAGCGAAGGATTGCAAACATTTTCATCCAATCTTTGGATCAAAAGATGTAAATAGGGCAGATGACAATTAGAACAAGTAGATTGCTTCATCAGTTGGGGATCAATGCAGGAAGAAGGCAACTGTAACCACATCTGGGCATTATCTTGAGAATTCTGTTTCTTGATGCCTCACAAGCATATCGAGCACCTGATCACAAAAGCAGAACTTTAATAGTATTCTAATGCAGAGGAGAGTCTTGAGTATTTTACAATTCCATTGAAACAGTTAACTCCAGATCACATTCCGCTTGTGATTTTTTTCAGTAAAAAGTGTTCTTAGCTGACATGAATTACTGCTTTGGGCCTTTGGCAATGATACTCATATAAAGAATCTTCCTTGAGCTAAAAGCATCTCAGAGAAACTTCATATTAGGTATTGCAGGCTTGCTGCAACCACAAAGAAATTAAGACCATCAGTCTTTTGCTCTGCCTATCAGCTAAAAGAAAAGGATAGAAAGCACTATACCAAGTACTTTATAGACCTTCCAACTGATTGAAATTGACGCTATAATTGTTGCAAACATTAATCTACTTGGTCAATATAAAAAGATTTGAAATCACCGGTTACAAGTCCCAAGCTCATAGAAGCAGCCAAGTAGGTACCAGTCGTAATTATGAGCAAATGTGCAGGCACTGGTCATCAAACAGAGACAGAATGAGAGGAAGAGCGCAAGGGTTAATGTTATGAACTCGGCTCTCTTTGTCAAGGCTGCTAAAATCAGAGACAAAAGCTGATAGGGTCAACAGGTTTAAGAATCAACTGGGTTGAAAACAGCTACAACGATCCCAGCAAGAGGGCATGCTTTCAGCTGGACTTATTTTTACAAAAACACAAGGTAGGATATAGGGACTTAGAACAAAGTGCATGTGTATCACACTATACCAAGTGAGAAAAGTTTTTGTGTGATTGTGTATTTTGTATGGAGTAATTATTAGGAGTGAAAGTAAGAACACACAATATTCATCTTAGCTTTTATATGCATATAATTGCACCAAGGTATTCAAATGACCTATGTAGAACACAAAATTTATCTTGTTCAGACCTTGTATGCATAAGATGGAAAAAAATTGTGGATTCGGATCAAGAATTACTACTAGACCTCTGAGAAAAATTCCAGGCAAAAAACCCTAATCATTCTTTTTTTAAATATCCCCCATACAGCTGGTCTAAACAACATCCTAAAATATACACACCCTAAACATTATCAGATAATAATGATAGTCCCAGGGGAAAAAAAATTCATAGGTACTCCACTCTACAAAATTCAAAAGTCTGATAAGAGTAGCACATTGACATAGGTGACTCCACTCTACAAAATTGTCTCCTTCTTTCTTTGAGTATACGCATAACACAGCCAAACAAGCATTCTTCCACATCAATCTTTCTTCCAATAACACTTCCAAAACCTACAAATCTGACCTCGAAATAATTAAGAGCTCAAATACAACTGAATTCAACATGGACTGGGTTTTACACGCTCGATTACAAATTTCTGCAAAAAGGCATGTGTATTCTCATACCAAAATAAATACAAAATGAAAGGCAGGGGGGTGCATCAAGGCCTTAAAAAAGAATAGCACTTGAATTAGAACACAGGAATTTTTATTAAAAGAGAAAGTGGAAGCTTGAGACATTCCAAATAAGAATCTCATCTCTACATTGGAGAGAACACCTTCCAAAATAACAAAAACCCAAGACTCAAGACTCAAATTCAATACATCTTATTCTTACAATTAGGAAGGATTTTTCAAAGGGGGTGTTTGGGGAAAAAAAATTAATAAAAAAAAAAGATAAAAAAGAAAAAAGAAAAAAGATAAAAAAGAAAGAGAATAACACTTACTGGAGAGCTCAAGCTGATAACAAGAGGAATGTTAGCTGTTTTAAAAATTTAAGGTGTTTAAAAAAGAGCTTTTCAAGTACAATAAGCTCTTTTGCAATAACCTCAAATAGTAAGGCTTACTGAAAGAATTGTTTTTTAGCAGAAAATTGAAATATCTACAATATGTATTTGACCAGCTATCAGGTCATTTTACCAAACAGCTATTAATCGGCTAATAAAACCAGCTGAATAGCTGATCAATTACCTTACAAGAAGTTTGAATTAATAGCTAAGCTAACAGATTTTTACTTTAACAAACATGACTTTGATCAAAAACACCTCAAACAATCTCAGGGAAAACCTACACCAAAAGGTGCAAGGCATCTCAAGAAGACATGGATTTCCAAAATGCCATACCCTTGAATTCTTCCAAGTTGCTCCATTATATAAATGCAGCCACATCAGCACACACCATATACCAAATACGGGTGGGAATGCCTCTCTTGAACTAGATCTAAATATCCATATGCCAATAGTAGACAGAAGGCCAGATAATAAAATAAATATAATTACCAGACATGAAATGCCTATAGTACAGCAATTACCTGCAATTCACTTACCCTTTCCTCAAACTTTAGCAAAGGCTTCTTCAATTGGTTGTTTGATTGATGATTTTGACACCCATGTATTCTTCAATAAAATGGCAGAAACTAAAGCATTTGCCATTTAACCATCTCCAACATGATAGTGCAATCCTGCAAGAAACACTAAAAAACACAACAAAATTTTGATCTTTGAATTTTGGAGGCAGGAACAGAGACTAGTCTCCTAGAATTCCAACCTTCCTAAATGATAGCTCTTATCACATAGGGAGAGCTAAGACATTCCCCCTTCTTCCTTTCTCAAAGAGTAATACAAAAAATAACAAAAATGGTCAATACTTTATGAATGTGACTTAGTCGCACACAAATTCTCTCTCTTTTAGCGCAAATGAGGGCAAAGCCCCTCTTGACTGCACTCTCTGAACATAGTATGCTACTATAAACTTTTGAAAGAGAAGCAGAGCAGAACATGGGCCTAAATTAAGAGTCAGAAGACTGCACCTGCATCCTCTTGTACAATACCCTGCTCTCTCAACCTCACTAAATATCTCCTTCTCTGAGTCTTTTCATAGCCATATTCTGGACCTGTCTCCAATTATAACGAGACAAAGCTATCAGCATATCCACTATTCACAGCCTGTACAAGAAAGGATCAATGCAACAACTATTGAGCAAGTTTCCTGGAATTTCAAGAAGGATAATGATATGAACTGACTAAAGCAAGAGAATAACAGAGACACTAACAAGTTGAAATAGCAACAAAGATTACTGTTTCATTGATAATGGCCAAAAGGGTAATAAAGATAACTTTAGGTTATCACTCTCTAAGCAACTTTAGGCTGCCAATCACTAGACAAGTTTCTCAATATTCAAAATGCATAACCACAACTCATGCTACTCATTCATTATATATACAATCAAGCTACTCAAAAATACATTCTTGTTTAATTACTCTTGTCTTCTTTTGCTCCTGCTGCTGCTTCTCTTCACTCTCCATAGTGCTTCTTTAATTTGTTTTGTTTGCTTCCTCCAAAGGTGCTTTTCTCCCACTGCCTTGCTGTACCGCTGTTGCCAATTGGTCTGCTAATAGTCGTTTCCTCCTTGTATACACAGCAAAAGGTTGCCCACTTGGGTTCATCACAGTTAAATTGGATGGAAGAAGATATCAATACAATCCTCCATGAGTTATACATTCTGTAATGCCTCAGGCCTCAGCTCATTCCACAAATAACAGGCAATGAGATTTAACTATCAGAAACCACATGCAGAGTTGACTCCTTAGATACTGGTTACTTTTTTATGTTCATAATCCATATACATAGATGCTGTAGCAAAAGCAGGACAAGAAAGGGGTGCTTGCCCATATAAATAAATGCTATGATCAAAATAACCATTATCCATCAAACTTACAAAACATGCAAAACTGATCTGGAAAGCCAATCATCAAGCACTTGTACGCAATAACACAAAAGCTTCACAATATAGAACTAGAACTTTATAGTCTCAATGTCTGCCAGTTTGTTCACTTCTGTGTGCACCACCAAATTGTTAAGGGAACCAGCTTCCACATCATCCTTCTTCTTTGGGACCATCAATACATTCTGAACTAAGCTGAATCCAACAACAGTCTCTATCATCCAAGAAATTAATGATAATTACCCTGGCTTTGGGCAATAAGTAAGCAATTTCCTCACGTCCACAGCATGCTTCTCCATGAGCAAGAGGGAACACAATCCTGCCACTGCCGAAAAGACAATAGGTGGAAATACCTACTTATTTCAAAAAGATAGAAAGAAGTATGTCCACTGACAATCACTAATTTCCAGTATTCCGCACAGATCAGGCTTCCCTGCCTTCCTCTCCATATTTTCAGAAGGGAAAGGACACAACAAATCAGTAACAGCAATGGTCATCAAGGTGTGGAAAGTCATGACAAATTGACAACTATGCTATGGCCACATACAAATCTTGGACATGTTGGCCACATACAAATCTTGGACATGTTGCAATACATAATTCAAGTACTAATATTGACAACCTACATAAATAATAAAAGTAATTCCAAGATAACACAGAGAACAGAGTATCAAATGATAACCAATTATTCAATTACAAATTTTTATTAATATTACACCAATGCCTCTGAAGAAGCTCCCACATGAAAAGGGGGTTAAGAAAAGTAACATAAATAAATAAATAAATAAATAAAAATGATGGAGAAAATCCCCAAGAGATGAAAGGAGGAATAACATGATTGTGCTTGGGAAGTGGGACCTGTTCAGCGAAACAACATATTTGATATCCAGGAATAAGGTCAGTGTTATTCAGTATTCAATCCATAAAAATTTCAAGGCCAATATGAAAAGCTCTGGACATAGATTGAATATTGTAAATGACGAATGAGAAGTTCTTAGACAGATGACCAATGATATAGAAATTGTAAGGCAGAGAAGGGAAAGGGTTGTTCTTTTTTTCTTTTCTTTTCCTTTTTTTTTTTTTTTTTTGGAAGGGGGGATACGGGATAGAGTTAATCATCATGCTTTATATGAAGGACAGAAACACAGCAGGAGAAACAAAGTACAGAGCTTAGTTCAGTTGAAAGATATCTTATGTCTATTTTTTGTATATCATTACTATCAAATAATTGGAGCACAACCAAAAACAAAGTAGACTTTGGTGGTCATCTTTTTTCAGAGGGATGCCTAATGAATAAAAATATCAAATTTCCAATGTAACTGAAAAGAAAATAAGCAGACTCAAACCTTATGTCTATTTTTTGTATATTATTATTATCAAATAATTGGAGCACTACCAAAAACAAAGTAGACTTTGGTGGTCATCTTTTTTCAGAGGGATGCCTAATGAATAAAAATATCAAATTTCCAATGTAACTGAAAAGAAAATAAGCATACTCAAACCTCAGGAGCCAAAGAAAATAATTATGGATACTGATTCACATAAGTAGCTATGCTTCTCTGCAAAAGTGCACAATTTCACAATGACTACACCTCCAGTCCCACCCCCACCCCCACCCCCCTTCACAAATAGTTTCATGTATAGATTATTAAAATAAAATAAAAAAAATTAAAAAAAAAAGATAAAAAGTAAAAGACATACTGATAGCAACTCAAAGTGCTTACCACATAGCTGACACTGCATTTTGCTACAAAATCTAACCCTTCCAGTAATTCAAGCAGCATAGGCACTCGCAACAAAAATGTGTCTGGAGCTTCCTCACATATCATTTAGTCACTTACCCACGGACAACATCATTGGGATTTAGACAGTAAATTGTACAAAAATAATGGAGTTGTTTAAGAAAAAAAAAAAGAAGGAAAGTCAGTCAAGGACCTAAGAATTGAGGTAGTAAAATGCAAATCCTAAGTCCTTGTATTACTTGTGCTGAAATAAAGCTCAACAGATGAGTAAAACTTGAGGTATGGAGGAGATAGAAATCAGTCCCAACAAACATTTGCAAGACATACAGCTAAGAACACCAGAAAAAATGTCCAAGAACATCAGGCCAAAAACTTGCATTACACAATATTTTTTGAAATTGCTGAACTCTTTTATTGACAATAACATAATTTATGTTCAGAAGCAAAGATTTGCAGGTCCTCACAGTGGAAACATCCAGAGTCAAACTACAATGACAAGCTGTTAAGAAGTTAATATGTTATTGATGTTGGAATTCCACTTTAATCTAAAAACACATGAAGAGCAACATTGCAGCTCTTACATTATGTGAATATTACCTTTACCAAGCTAAACAACAGTATCCCTGCAAAACTTTTCCATGTTTCCTCCTCTTGGCAGTAAATTACATGACTCAGGCAGAAGACAGCCAACAAGAATGCTAAACATACAACAGAGCAACCACCACTGGGCATCCCTCGAGAACCCGCTCACTGGTGGCCAGTTAAATAATCCCCGATCATGTACAAACTCTGTGAAAGGAGCTGTACATACATCGTGCTCAAAACCTTCATTTGATCTTGCGAAGGTCGAGCTGTATCTAATGGGTAGGAATGACCTGGCTTGGGACAGGGGCGTAATTAAATGGACATTGACACCATTAATAACAACAAGTCATAAAAGACATGTTCTTCAAGCCAGAATGACCAACCCACCAGGATTAAAAGGCAATTCCATATGTTCTTCATAGATCTTATTCTTCAAATGCCTGCATAGATATCTTCTCCAACAACAAAGGCCAATCTTCTCCAAGTTGCTGAGGGTTTAGCTCCATTGCAACCTTGAAATCAAGCAGAGAAACAGAATGATGAGGCCTCTGTTCTTCTACAGGAGGACCACCACTTTGCATATGTAAATGATTACTAGGCCAGAGACCGTTCATAAGCTTGCTGTGAGTTTGCTGCTTCTGAACAGCATACATTGACGTGTCATTTGTAGATCTACTACCAACTAACTCTAAACAAGATCTGATTAATCGCTTCAAATATACATCCAACATGTTATTTAAGGTATTAGCACAATCTGTCGTGACCCCTCCTAGACCCTGTGTAGCTGCAATCTGCTCCATTCGCCTCCTTAGCATCTCACTGTCAGAGAGTCCGCCAATATCAAAGCAGTTAACATAATCGCCAATGTGCGTCCCAGGTAATGATTTGCGGGCTCCACCACTAGGTGAGAAAAATGGAATTCCAAGAGGAGCAAGTAGAGGACTTTTGGAGAGCTTAAGCCGGCTGCCTTGTTCCACCTCTTCCCCATCTTCAACAGCAGGTACATTATTCTGGTCTTTACCTCGAACGACACCTGGAATATCTACAGATTTCTTCATCATCAATCTCTCTTCATTCTCTGGTTGCTCAGCAAGCCCCCGTGGTGGCTGCAAAGGCCGTTGATAATCGCAAGGAGTCATCTCCATCAAATCCCCATTTTCTACAGTTTTCACACCACTATCATCTGTCGCAGTTGTCAGGTGCGAAGCGGAATCTGCCTTCCCATTTGGCCCAAGAGGACTTGGCCTATCTCTAAATTTCCTTTCACGGACTCCAGACCTCACCTTTCGTGGAGACATAGGCAAAACAACCCCATTCGACCAAACAGGGGCCACTGAGCTTTGATTCTGGGACACAACTGCCGGCTGACCATGCCCATCCTCTGATATAGGCAAGCTCTTTCCAGTTGCTATGGCAGGTTTTGCAGGACCTGCTTCATGAACTGATGGAGGAGGGGTCTTGGCACTACAAGCATTCTTCAAAATAGCCCTTATTATCTGATTATGCAAAGAGAGATTTTCCCTCCCAAGTAACCGATGACACGACTTATCAAAGTCACTCTTACTTAACTTCTGATTTATAAACCTGTTCAAACTATAGAAGTACCTCTTAAATCTGTCCGGACCAACCTTCTTGAACAAATGAGCTTTGAGCTCACCAATATCCATACGCGAACTCTTTTCCGGTTGCATATTTTTATTTCTTCACAGTCACGCCTACAAACTCATACAACAAAAATCCAACAACAACTACTAACACCAAATTCCTCCCAATTCAAATCTCAGCAACATTTCACTTCACAACCCCTAAACACCCAATTAAACAAATTAATAAAACTCACTCAAATTACCCAAAAATGCCAACACATAACCACAATTACTAACCAAATTCAAAACCCTAAATTTCAAAAATGACAACCACCCAAGTAGAGATCTAACTTACTCAAACAACTAACAACCAAACCCTAAAATCAACACTTATACAATTCAAATCTGCTAGAAATCACAAAACCCTAAGTTCAAATTCACCAAAATAAGCAACAAAGCTTACGACGCCTCGACTTCAAACGGTAAAAACTGTAAAGCGCGTAACTATACCGTTGCTCAAAATCCCACATTTCCAATTCAAAATTCACCAACTGGGTAGCCCTCAATTCCCCTTTTAAGCACTGAGATCGCAGAGTTTAACTTCAACATATAAGATCAATTAAAATTAACTTCCCTGATTTTAATTTTCCCCCTTTTTCCCAGAAAACAAATTCCCAGCTTTCAGAACACAATTAATTGAAGAAAAAGGGGAAATGGGAATTCAACTATAATACCAGAAGCTGATTAATTTACCCTTTTTTTGATCAATTTCTGACCTTATTATCGGCAACCAAGCAGCTTCTTAGGTGACTGAACAACACCCAAATTCGATGAATTTCAACTTTCTTCGAATTGTCAGCAAATTTTTGCGAAATACCCAGCTAGATTATTTTCTCTCTCTTCTCGTAAGTGCATTTGCTTCTTCTCTCTCTGAATTTTTCTGGGTTTTTTTTTGTTTCTCTTTATTTTTTTGGGTTTTTTTTTTTATTATTTTTTTTTTTTTTTTGAGCTGATTTTGGGAGAAAGAGGGAATTAGATTTTGTTTTGCAACCCTCGATCGCTGTTTCTCTCTCCTCTTTCACTTTCTCTCTCTTCCTTTGTTGGTCTCCTTCCCACGGTCTCACTTGTGTAATAATAAATTTTATCTTTTTTTTAATTACTTTATTTATTTTTAGGGTATTTTCATTTTTACCACCTTCAAATAATGACTTTGTCGAATTTACCACCTCCAAAAAAAAAAGATTTACTTTACCACCTCATAAAAAAATAAAACATCAGTTTTACCACCAATCACCTCCAACTAACGGATTCCGTCCATAAATCCGTTAGTGGGGCCTACCTTGCACACGTGTCGCCATATTATTGGGTAAGTTTTAAAAAAAAAATTAAAAAAATCCCCATTAATCAACCGGTGTTGCTGCCACCGTCAGGACCCCCACCGCCGACCAGCCACGACCAGCCCCCACCACCTAACCGCTACGACCAGCCCCCACCACCTAACCGCGACCAGCCCCACCACCGCACCGCACAGCCACAACCACCTTTCCACCAATTTTTCTTTATTTTTTTGCTCTGTTTTCTCGAAAGCCACAACAATGGCGTCTCTTCCAATGGAGTTAATCACCTCCATTCTTTTCGATTACCCACTAAATCACTACTTCGCTTCAAATGCGTTTCCAAGGCTTGGCATTCCTTAATCAATCAACAACACCCATTTAATCAGACTTCATCTCGCTCATTCTCTCTCCTCTGACCGTCGTCTTCTTATCCTCAACCATGGAAGTCACCTGGAATCGACTCCATTGAAGTGGGGTTCTGAGCTTGATGCTAAAAACGATTGACAAGGTTTGATTTACCCAATTCTTTTTCTGGTTTTGAGGTTTCGATTTGTGGGTATTGTAATGGATTAATTGCTTTGGTTTGTAGAAATGTTGATGATAATCGATTTGTATCCTTGTTGTTGGTGATTTGGCTTCTTAGTTTTTGGCAGCCACCAAATCCCGACCACCCATAAATCCCCTTCTAATTCCGACCACTCTAAAAACCCTAGCCACCACCAAATTTCGCACTCCTAAAACCCTAACCACCACCTAATTCCGACCACCTCCCTAACCCACACACCAAATTCCGGCCCCTCCTTAGTCACACACGAAATTCCGACCAACCGAGGTAGTTGATTTCGTTGCTGGTTGGTTTACACGGAAGATCGGGGAAGATGAAGAAGAAACGTCAAAAAGGTGGGCCCTACTAACGGATTCGTGGACGGAATCCGTTAGTTGGTGGTAAAATCGATTTTTTGGAAATTTTGTTGGTGGTAAAGTAAATCTTTTTTTTTTGGAGGTGGTAAATTCAATTAAGTGGTTATTTGAAGGTGGTAAAAATGAAAATACCCTTATTTTTATTTCCTTTTTTTGCCCTTATATTTGACATTCCAATTCCTATATCTAGTTACTAACTAGTGCTAACTACTTAAGTGTGATGGACTTTGGGAGAACAATTCTTGCATTTTGGATGCATCCTAAATTGTCACTTTTGCCTTTGTGTTGCATATTCCTAACAAAATAAAGCTCGATAAGTCTGGTGTCTAGTCTCGGTTATTATATCTTTTTCGAACTTTATTCAAAAAAAAAAAGTATTTGATGATGCATGTTATTAAATGTGTGTCGCAATGGCGATGTGGTTAGATTTTTTCTTGCGGATGCTACTTCTTTGATTTTATCTTCTCGAGGCTCTTGAAAGTTTGTTTAGATTTGATTTATTATTGACAAGCTCGACATGTTTGAAGAGGAAACACTGGAGCACGCGCTATTTATGGTGAATGAGTTCAGGAGCTGTGGGAAAACTACTAATGTGTTTCAATGACAAGGCGAGACAAGATTTTGCAATCTACTAATAAGTTGGCCGGAGAGCTCTAGGCTCAAAAACTAAACAAAGGGGATGTTCCTAACAAGGAGTATTTGAGCAAACAAAATTGCAAGGTGCTTTAATTTAGAGCAAAACAACGTCCAAACTGATACTCTTTGAATGCGTACACAAGCTAACATATGTATCTACAACTTGGTATAGCACAAAGCACCCTCAACCCCAAAAAAAAAAATGGTGTGCTCCACCTTCATATGTGACTTAAATCAATATGGATACTTCCTTAAAATATGATAGGCGAGTGGGGCTTGGCGTAGTTGCTAGGAATTAGGGGTGCGGGTGGTAGTAGAAGGTATGAATTATGAAGTAGACGAAATAATCTTGAATTCCATCTATAAACTTTAATTTTGAGTGATCGATTCTTGAAAGGATCGATCCACACATTATACTACACTTCATACAGTTTAAAGAGATATCTTTTCGATGTGTACTCACTTTAAGTTCTTCACTCTTTGGTCTCGTATTAAAAGGGCCAACAACTATGTGCTCATTCTCTTGCTAATAAGTTAATATTGCTCGGAGTAGAGCAAATTGGGTGAATCATAATTCCCAATAAGTTATTCCCTAGGTATTATTGTATTTTAAGTCCTTAATAACTAACTGAAACATTAAGAGATACTTAGACAATGGTATGAAAATTAACATGTAATACCCCATATTTTTAATATATTTTATAATTATTTATTGGGTAATGCTATAAATAGCCCTTAGGGCTATATATAAGCATTAAAAACACTCTAGAAAATTGTATAAAATTAGGAATTCATGACAAAAACACGCATAGATCAATGTAATTAGTGTGAATTTGTTATGATTTTCTAAATTTAAACAGTTTTCAAGAGTATTTTATATGCTTATATGTAGCCCTAATGGCTATGTATAGCATTTTCCTTATTTATTTACTTATAAAATATATATTGCGCCAAATAATTTTAAATGTGGGTTTTAAATAATGAGTTTTAAATTTGACCAATACTTACTCTACAAATTACAATTTATGTTTATAAAAGCTTAATCATCCTTTTTATATATTTGGACCAATCACTCCTCTCCTCTTTCCTCTTTTATTATAGTTATTTTGATATTTTTATTTATGGGTTTGGTTTTAATTATTTAAAGTATGTTTGATTCGTATCATAGCCATGTTTTGATGGTTTAAAAAGTATTATTTAAGATCTATTATTATTGGTATTATTTTCAGATTTCATAAAGTATAAAATTGGGATTTATAATATAAAGACTTGATTTTTAGGGTTATTTTATAAATTGATTTGGAGACTTTGAATACCCATTGATTTTGATTATTAACCAAGTAAAAAGATGTGATTTTGATGAGTTTTTAAGGAGTTTTAACAAAGCATTATTGCTGGAATTTTGTGTGAAGTAGTAGTGTTGTGATTTTAATGAAAGGGTTTAATCACCCATTAACAGAGAGGTTAATTAGGGGTTTTTAAATAATTTTCAGATTATTTTAAATAGTTTAAAGTGTCCCTCAAAAAAAAAAGTAGTTTAAAGTGAATTTAAGTTGCTGGAAATTGTGTATACAAGGAGAAGTAATATATTGTTATTGTCCCTTTATGTAGGAGACTTGGTTCGGAAATTGTTGTAGTATTTTCGGCTACTTTAAGGGCTTATTTGAGGTACGTACGCGTACTTGGAAATGTATTAAGCATGTAAATATATGCTAGGATTTATTTAAGTGATTTTAAGTTGGTGTCATGCTAGGAATTTATGGAATGGTTGAATTGAAATGAGATTGGTGATTTGAATTGGATTGATTGAATTGGAATGATTTTGGTGGAATATTTGTGTAGCATGATTGGTTGAAATAAATTTTTTATTGGAATCGGTGATGTTGGAATATTGTTATAAAACCATATTTTTATTACTGACATGATTCAAAGCATGGTTAATTAAACAAAATGTTTAATTTGGTTTGGAATATTGATAATGAATTTTATTATGGTTCATATAATTTTTATTGATGTTTTAAGCATGGGAATTGAGTTACCAAGTGTCTTAATACACATGAATAAATTATATTGCGCTGTCTATGAGCACTTAAGGTACTTCTAACACCGAGGGATAATTTGCGGCGCATTATGCATTTAAGTTGTCTTTGATAACGAGGTAGATTAAAAGGATTCAACATAAAAAGTTATGGGTTCATTAATAATTATTCAAGAATTAATTTGGTATGATTGATTGCTTGTATAATTATAATGTTTGTTTTGTTATGGTTTGAGAGTCATCTTCAAGTTGATTAATATGTAAAACAACGTAAAGTGAAAGAGATTACGCACCAAAACTCTTGGAACGTATATACCTGAACATATGGAGGGAGTTATGGGGTTATATATTTAACCATAACTTCTACTGGGAGTATAGGACGTTGTTTTTTCTTTTATTATTATTATGTGCAGGATGTTCGTCACTTCATGTGACATTTTCCTACCCGGTTAGCTCCCAATATAGTTTACCTCAATTTATTTAGGGCAGGAATTTGGTTGGAAACCCGTTCGATGCGTAATCAAATTAAATGGACATTAGTATTTGTCTAGTTAAATGTTGAGTGTCTTAAATGCTTGTTTACAGGTGCAACAAGGTAAGTTGTGTGATTGTTAGGATGAAAGCAAGTTAGTGTGTTTTATTACGCTTATGTACTTAGTTTTGCTAATTGTTTGTTTGTCTGTTTGTTTGACCTCGTCTTTATCTTGGCTCTACGACGACCCATTTCTAATGGCGAGTAGTGGGGACAAGTAAAGAGAAGATTTTCAAGTGATGGAGCATTTTTATGTTGGGCATGAATGAAGAGGGAATCATGCTTAGTTTCCATAAGAATGTGGTGTGTTATATTGCTTTGATTATTATTTATTTATTATGCTCACGAAACTAACACAAAGGTTTAGGTATTGCTCGGTTTTAATCAGGGCCTATAATGGTTCCAAGTTGTAGGTTGACTTTGATTTGACTTTAAAGTTGATTTGTTTTAAATGGTTTTAAAGATAGTCCTCCGCTGTGTGTCTTTGATAAATGCCTTAGCTATTATCACGGTTGCAGTAATACCTTGGTTATTTCAATTCCTACTTCGTATTTGAAAATGGTAACACAGGTTATTTAAGGGGGGGGGGGGGTTTCAGGGTGTTACATAACAAGGTTATTTCCTACATTTTCTAATTTAGCTAGTTTTCCATACTTTTCAACTTTAAATTTTACTCTTGATGAAAAGCAACTAAATTAATCTCACAGTGA